GCCTTCCACAAGAAGAACAGGATACCAGCAGTGAAACCTGGTGGTGGTCGTGTGATGGTTTGGGACTACTTTACTTCCACAGGACCTGGACGACTTGTCATAATTAATGGAGACATGAATTCTGCTCTCTATTAGAAAATCCTCCTGGAGAATATCCACCATCAGTTCATGACCTCAAGCTCAAGCACACGTGTGTTGTGCAGCATGACAGTGAACCAGAGCACACAAACAGGTCCACCTCTGAAAAGATCAAAAAGAACTAAATTATTGTTTGGTTGTAGCCGAAAAATCTGGACTTGAATCCAACTGAGATGCTGTGGCAGGAGCTCAAAAGGGCAGTTCATGCTCATCAAACCATCGAATGTGGCCAAACTAAAACCATTCTGCAGAGAAGAGTGGGTCAGAATGCCTTCATGACGATGTAAAGGACTAATATTGGGTATAAAGATTCTCTAAATGCTAAACTTTTGTTTCTGTAAGGGTCCAGTTGGTGCTCTGTTTTAACTGGTATGAAGGCAGATTTTGCTTTCTACTAAACTCTGATGCTGCAGTTTTGCATGTTGACCAGCAGAGGACAATCCAGCTGAGGAAACAGATTCATTGTGCACAAGAAAGTTCAGCTCTGCCTCCTTTTTGAGGAAACTCAAAACAAATCAAACTTATTTTAACTCCTGCCATCAGGCCACTGTTTTGAAAAAAACTCTCTGAGCTCAACAAATAGATTAAAATATCTTTCATACCAACCATTACTGGATTACCAAGCAGGCTAACTGCCAAGACGACCACAGGCCACAGGCTTACTTTACTTTATTTATGTCTACATCATCTAATTGGTTCAAGATCTGGTTAGAAAACAGCGTTTTAAAACCAAAATGTATCAGTGTGGAAGCAGAACCAGCTGAAAGCTTCTTTCAGGTTTGTTTGTTTTGTCTATAAAAGCAAAAAAATGTGATTTCAAACCTGATCCAAAACAGAATTAAGGGTTCACGAACCTCAAACTGTGATTTAGACAGTCTTTAAACTCTCTACATTATTCTGGTCCAGGTTTGATAAGTCTGAGTAGAGTGATTTTTGATCTCTATGTGGTCTGGATCAGGACAACATCAGTGAAATGACCCTTTTTTGTACTTTTGCACAGAGAATAAATGTTTTACAGATCTGAAAGTAGGTTTTAAGTGTCTTTAAACCTTTTCTGCCAATCTAGTCGAGGTGTTACAGGTCTAAGTTTGTTTGATTTAGATGTGGTCTGATGAGGTCTGCATGGGAAACTCGGCAGAGAATGTTCCCTTTTTATGTTCTTCTTGTAAATATAATAAAAGTTTGCAGATCTCAAACAGGGTTTTAACAGTTTCTGGCTTCGACAGTAGTTAACAGTTGTGTGATTGCAGAGCCACAGATAAACACGTCTTAAAGGAAGCCTCCACCCAGGGGCAGTGGTTAGTTCAGGGCCTGATCTAGACTCATGTTGGTACAATGTTTTACTCCATGCATGTTTTTATTCTGTGTGACAGTGAAGTTATTCTGACTCTTCATCTTCCCTCAGACACGAGAATGACGTCCAGCACTTCAAAGTAATGAGGGACAACAAAGGCCAGTACTTCCTGTGGTCGGAGAAGTTCACCTCCCTGAACAAGCTGGTGGAGTTTTACAAAAACACGTCCATCTCTAAAACCAGGGAGATCTACCTGAACGACGGCAGCTCGGACAGCAGGAGCCCGTCCTCGGCCCAGTCGGTAGGAGACACTTTATTTTACCACTATTTTAAACAGAAAAAAGTTCAGGCAGTATTCTTGAAGTGACTTTTTGTCTTTTTTTCGACATTTTGTAGCAAACATCTTTGGTCCAAACAACATTTTTTTTTAAAATCTTCTACGATTTTTCACTATTTTCTGAAATATTCAACAGTGACTAAACCAAGAATTTGCATTTAGTCGTCTTTGACCAGCTTTAACAGCAGAGTCTTCAGTCTGCATTGTATGAAACAATCCGAGACGCTGACGATCTTCTCTTGAATCATCATGTAAGAGAGCAGAGTGGAGAGGAAACGAAAGCAGAGGAAATGTGTTTTAATGAGAACACATCAAAGTGATGAGAGGAGGAAGATGTGGGGGAGGAGATACTGTATCTGTCTGTGGCATCGGATCAGAAAAAGCCGTCGGTCTGTTGATGAAACAGTAAAATCTCTGTAAACTGAGAACATTTCATTTGCATCTCTGAATTGTTCTCCCTAAATATAGACGGTGTGATTTCAGTTCAGTCATTGTCTTTACTTTCTCAGGGCTAATCTGCTAACATCCTGTAATAAGTAAGCTAAAATATTCTAGATGTATAATTAGCTTCTTTATTGTAAATTTGAGCAGTTATGCGATCTTTATGGGCTTATTTTTTCTCATTTTCTTTGCACAATTATGTGGTCTGTTGTAGTCAGGAGTTCCTCTTTTTACACAATCATTTGATCTTTTCATGTCATTCCTTCTTATATTTGTGGGTTTTTTCCCTCATAGTTAAGAACTATTTTTCTGATGAGCTTTTTCTTGTTAGTATGTAGTTTTTTTGTTTTCTGAAAACAATGCACTACTGTTTAATAATTCAATATTTTATTATATAAAAAAAACAAACTCTTGTGATGATTCACTTCTAGCAGTAGCTGCTCTGGTGTCAGTGAGGCCACATTTATTTGCATTTGTTTGCGCTGATAGTTAGATACACTGAAACTGCTGCTAACAGTCCTCACATGTTGTCGCTTATGCTGATTTACTGTCTGAACCGAAGAGAAAATGTCAGCAGTTTCCCTCCAAATTAAAATACTTTGGTTCTGTTTTTCTTCACTATAAAAAAACAGGAGGTCACACATGAGGTCCTTTGATTTATCACCATATATAAATAGAAATGAGAACTGTCTTTTTTTTTACTGCTCCGCTGCAGTTCCTGGTGTATCTGTTTGTACAGCTCTCTGTTATCTGCTTCCTTCCTGCAGGTGAAGAGGGGAAGTTTGCCTGAACAGCGTAACGCAGCGGCGGCTTTTGATGCGACACCACGCAGAGCTTCAGACCAGACTCATAACCAGCTGGTACGCATCACTGCTCGCCTTCTTTCTCCCTCTTCTCGAAATCAAATCCTGATCTCTGTGAGGCTGCCCAATTAAATAAGAAGATGCTGCACATGCTGGGTAAAAAAGAGGATTCTTGCAGACGTGCAGTGAATTTGTAAAACTATTTAAAACAGTAGAGCGCCTCAGCAGGTCTCAACTGTTTTAGTGAGAGCTGGCTGTCATGTTTTGGTTCAATCGTGTGTGTTTTTTGACACGGAAGCATAAAATAAAGTGTTATTTCTTGCAATCCAGGCTAAGCGAACCGGTCTGGAGGAGCGTGCTCACACCATCGGCCACACAGGAAGAAGCAGCCCCATCAGCTACCCTCAACGCCACTGTGAAACCATGCCCCCGCCTCAGGTCAGCCTGCTCTCCTCTGATGCTAAGCTAGGAGGTTGAACATTGAAGCTGGCGGATGTTAGCTCCTAACATTTAGCTTAAAGCCTTGAGTGCCGCTCGGTAACATTTCTGCTCTTCACATTAAATTTGTGACTGTTCTGGTAAACAACATGCAGCTTTAAATAGTTTGTAATAAGAGGTGCTATCGAAAAGTTACCAGACCAGATCTTCTTGCATTTTATTGCCCTGTGCATCAAAAGAAAATTAAGGAAACGTGCTAATAACTAGAGGGTAGAAATGCACACATTTAGAAGCCAGCCAATAAGTAACCTTCAGGGAATGTTTAGATGAAGGTTCAGTAAAAGGTAACCTTCAGAAAACGATCCTTGTAGGATACAGTTTGCTGGTTACCTGAACAAGCGGATAACAATTATACTTAAGAGAACATTCCCTGAAGGTTCTTCAAAGGTTACTGTGGGAAGTCGAATGAGTGATTTGCGGGTTATTTGTAATTTGTAATGCCCTTATCGTCATCGTAAACAAGTTGTTGATCAGTGTTTGGTCTCCTCCTCAGAGGGCGTCCTTGCTGCAGGTGAAGGCGCTGTACGACTTCAAGGCAGAGGAAGAGGACGAACTCGGCTTCTTCTCCGGCGACATCATCGACGTGTTTGATCGCTCCGATGCGTCGTGGTGGAAAGGGAGACTGCGGGGGAAGAGCGGGTTGTTTCCCGCTAACTACACAGCACCGATGTGAGGAAACTCCTCGATGACGCCTTTTAACTCGCCTGCACACGAACTAGAGCTTCAAGTGCTTCGATATGTGAAACACCGAGCAGGCCTGTGGTCTGAGCGCTGCAGGTCGACTCTCCACCAGACGACTGTTTCACACAGCGCTCAGGTTTTGTTGAGCATTTTTCGTTAGAGAGGAGCAGAGATGCAGCTGCAGGAACCTCCTACATGTTCTACCAGCTCTCAGAAAGCGCTGACAAAGAATGTTTTTTATCACTTTTATTATGACACGTCTGTCAGCAGGTATTTATTTGCTGAAGGCTCGTTGGCTCGGCTGCCGATGAATCAACTGTTTCTGCTCGTGTTTCGACAAGTTTTGTACCGCAAAAAGTTTTATATAGATGTGTATTTTTCTTGCAGCTCACTGACCTGAAAATAAAGTTGTTTCAATCACTGTTACATCTGATGTTAAGTCGTGGTGATGAGGGATTTCTGGGCAAATTCACAGAAGGACGAACCACTACTGTTTTTTTATGTTGTTGCTTTAGTAGTTCTTTACAGGGAAATGCAAGTAGTTTTAAGAGTAGTAATAATAATAATAAGAATGATCATAACCATAATAATAACTTTATTCATACAGCACCTTTACGAATAAAAAAGACCATAGAAACAAAAGTGGAGAAATCGAGTTAAACACAATGACAGATTTACAAAATAAATCAATATAGCAAATACCAGTTGATACAATAAAAGATGACATGGCGACCACTTGTTTACTTCAAAGGGAGCTGGCTTGTTTAGCCCACAGACACTGAAAAAAATAATAACCATGTACAGTCTTGGTTCGAAAAAATGTGGAAACCATAATATGTTTGTTAGAGAGTACTATTTCGATGGAGTCAACCTCTAAAACCATAAGTTGGGCAGGTGCAAGTTTGGCAGGTGGCGCTGTTGCGACAAAGTTAATATAATTATTTGGTCCTGAAACTGGAGTTTGCATGTTCTCCCCGTGCAGCGTGGGTTCTCTCCGGGTTCTCCGGCTTCCTCCCACACGGTCCAAAAACATGTTGAGGTTAATTGGTGATTCTAAATTGTCCATAGGTGTGAATGTGAGTGTGCTTGGTTGTCTGTCTCTAAGTGTGGCCCTGTGATAGACTGGTGACCTGTCCAGGGTGTCCCCTGCCTTCACCCTGAGTCAGCTGGGATAGGCTCCAGCCCCCCCCGCGACCCTAATGAGGATTAAGCGGTGTATAGATAATGGATGGATGGGTCCTGAAACTGCAGCGTCGTCTGCTCCAGATGTGATCTGGCTGACTGCACCAGAGGCTGCTGTTGATCAAACTGCACCCTTCAACATGCAGGTATTTCAGTACAAGTTTGACATAGTTGTAATTGATATATTTCTTTTTCCAACTGTAGCAGTATATACTGTAATTGTTACTCTGCTGCATTGCTTTCATAGCTTTAATTATTAATTTTACAAGTCAAGCTTTATCAAAAAAAAGTTGTCAAAACACTTTTACCTCCAGGTGGAATACTTTTACATGGAATATTTTTACATTGTTATATGTGATGAGGTTCTGAGTGCAGTAGTTTTACCTGGTGTGAAGTATTTTTTAAGTATAGTATTGCCACTTTTCCTTAGGTGAAGTTTACATGTTGTACTTTTGCTTGTAATTTAGTACATTACATTGTGGTATTTACATTTTAGGCAAAACTTTAAATGCATTACTTTGACTTGTAGTGGAACCCTTTTACTTGTAGTCTAGTATTTTTTACAGTATGGCATTACCACTTTTTATTTAATGACTTTTTTTTTTTTTAAACTAGTCGTAGAATGTTTTTGTCATAAAGGTGTATTTTATAGTTTTATTTTGTAAGGCTTTCAGAGCAGTTTTTTACTTGCAGTTGATTATTTTTAGTTTGCCACTTTCACTAAAGTAAAGTTCTAAAATTCTGTATTTTTACTCGTGGAGTGGTACTTATACTCTAAAGGGAGAGTTTTATGGAGCAGGTTACTTTGTAAGACTTTGAGGTCAGTCTGTTCATTTGCAGTTGGATATTTTTTACAGTGTGTGATTTCCACTTTTATTTTAGTGGCAAGTGTTGAACGCAGTACTTTGTAATTTGTAGTGGAGTGAATCTTACAGTGCAGTGCTGGATATGGTGATGAATGCAGTAATTTAACAGGTAGTGGAGCATTTTTATGTGTTGACATTTTGTCAAGTTTTGACTTGAGTACTTTAACTTGTAATGTAGTATTTTTACAGTGAGGTATTTCTAGTTTTGCTAGCATGCTATTTTGTAGCAGCAGCAGTTTTACTTGTAGTATTTTTACAGTGTGATATTGTCACATTTACTTAAGGTTCTAAAATGCAGTAGTTTTATTTATAGTGGAGTGTAGTTACAGTATGTTTTTTTTTTAGTTGTTTTTATTATTATTTTATTTAAGAAGGGTTCTAGAATGCTGTACTTGTACTTGTAGTGGAGTATTTTTACAGTCTGGTATTTCTCTTTTTGCTGCGGTGAGGTTTTCCAGTGCACTCTTCTTCTTTTATTTAAGTAAAAGACTTACCAACTGATATATTCCACCGTTTGACTCCTATAAGTTTTCCAGCAGGAGGCTTTATGATGATGCCTACCTGCTGGCCCCGCCCCCTCCTTCACCTGAGTCCCGCCCTCTACATCACCTTCTGGCTCCGCCCCCTGTACCTGAGCTCTCAGGTGTGCGGAGCAGCAACCTGAAACAGCAGCAGCAGCAGTACCGGCAGCAGTACCGGGTATCTTGTCGTGGGTCATGGCGGAGTCTCAGCTCGTGTGCATGGACGATGAGCACGTGAACGAGAAGGTACCGGAGAGCCGACCGGAGTTCTACTACAGCGAGGAGCAGCGCGCGGCTCTGGAGCAGCTGCTGCGTAACGGAGACGGTGCGTTCAAGATGCGGCTGCAGGAGGACAACACCAAGGACTTCCTGTGCGCCCGGGAGGTCAAGCTCATCCGCAAGAGCTTCCAGGAGTACGACGCGGACAGCGACACCGAGGCCGGAGAGCAGGACAAGTCTAAGGGCTCCTCCAGCGCGGACTCCGGGGTCCACTCCACCTACTGGCCCCAGATGTCCGACACCGCCGTCCCGTCTCTGGACATCGGCTGGCCCGGCAGCAGCGGCGTCTACAAGGGGGTGACCCGGGTGTCCGTGTACACCCACCCGCCCAAAGAGCCTGGGCCGCACATCAGGGAGGTGGTGAGGAAGCTCATCCAGAAATCTATGAAGGTAACTGCTCAGGGCCAACAACAAGAAGAAGTAATACACTTTAATCCTGTGGCCAACACAACCCATAAATCTATAATGGGGCAAATTAATAAGGAGTTAATTGACTTTTTATCTTGTTTAGAACATGTTGGACACTTTTAGTTTCATTATTCTCATCCATTTTAATAATAAATAGCAAAGAAAGAATAAAACACGCTAATGAGTCACTGTGTTGACTTTATGCCTTCATTTATGTCACAATCAGAAGTAAACAGGCAGAAACTCAACTGTCATCAAACAATAAGGGATTTAGAAAATAGTGAAGAATAATTCATATTCATCCCCAAAGCCAGAGATATTGAATTAACACATTTATAAAGCAAAATCAATCATGTTTTACAGAAGCTTTAACTCTCTTAAATGAAGAACTGTTGATTGATTCAGCCCCATAATCAAGAATATGCAGAAAACTGTGAAAACTGACTCAGATTCAGCCCAAAGATATTAAAGTTACACATTTTAAAACAAATTAGATATGCAAAGACTCACCTTTATAGAAGCTTTCAATAAAGTAAATTAAATAAAGTAGTGATCGATTCAAATACCAAAATACACAGCGTAACTTTACTTTATGTAAGAATCAGATAAAACATCTCTATCAAGCCATTATAAAAACAATGATGACTGCAAAAACATTGTTAAAAATGACTCTGATTCAAGATGTTTAGTGAACAAGTTCAAAAAGAAAATCTTATTCACCTCGTAGAAGCTTTCGCTTTGATACCAAGTAGCTAACTCGGAATGAGACACACTGACTACTCTGTCCTATTTTTAGTTTGACGTTTGCTATTAGAACTTTATACCTTTTATTTATATGAGAACCAGGAAGAAAACAGGCAGAAAATTCAATCAAGCCATCATAAAAACAATAAGGGTTCCTGAAAATGATAAAAGATCATTCAGATTCAGTCCCAAACCCCAAGATATTCATTTTACACATTTATAAAACAAAGAAAATATATAAGATTATTCACATTTGACAAGGTTTTATTAAGGGTTTTTGCTTTGGATGTCAAATTATTGATTGATTTTTCTCTAAAAACAATTGTTTACTGCATGCATGCAGTGAATTTCGTGCTCCTGTAAGGAATAAGGCAGGTGAACAGCTTTACACACGGAAAGAAAGTTGAATTGACGCTATAAAGCTGGTTTGATGTGCCATCTCTTCCAGGCTGACCTGAAAAACAAACAGAAAACTCTTTTATTACACTGCGGTACACTAAAAAACAAAAAGTCCCTGACCTACTTGGCCTGCAGCTGGAAAACAGCTCAGAGATGCTTCCAGTGATTGGCTGCCGGTGATCATGTGTCTGTGGCAAAGACAAAGACCTGCAGGTTGAGAGTGATTACTGTCACCGAGCTGGTGTCCCGACCGAATGAAGTCATGACAGTCTGTCATACATAATAGTTCTAGTCAGTGATCTCAGGCGTAAAATATGTATTTTACATGGATAAAGGCCAGACTAATGATTAAAGTCTCACTGGTAATGGTTTTGGTTAAAATAGCAGTGAAAATGTTAATCAATTAATCAGCCATCCTAAAACGATCAGCAATGATTTTGATGATTTATTCATCTTTTGAGTCATTTTTCAAGCAGAAAATACCAAAACCCCACAATTTCATGTGAAAATAGCTGCTTTTCTTTACAGCTGCAGCGTATAACTGATTAATTGATAATCAGATGAGTTTTCTTTGTCATATATGATTGTAAACTGAGAATATTTGGGTTTTAGACAGTCGACTAAACAAAACAAGACACTCAAAGTTACGCATTTCTTACATTTGACTGCAAAAAATCTAGAAAATAATCATTATTTAAAATAAACTTTAATTGCAAAGAAGCTTTTGTTTTCTTGAATAACAACAAATGTGCTTCTTTGTGTTTTGGACTGACGTTCTGATGAAAAAATCCACATAAAGACCTTCATCACCTTCATCTGCAAGCATTTCTCCCTCTTTTGAGAGGCAACAACAACTTTATGAGTTGAAAAAGGAATTATTCATGAAAATAACTGGAGTCTTGACAAAGATTTGAGATAATTTGTGGGGAAAAAAATCTTTTTTTACAGATGAAAGGTCGATTATTTAAAGCAAACCGTGAATATAAACTTACATTAAGTATTAGTTCATTCATGTAAAGATGGAGTTTGTGTGTTTCACAGCAGTCCTACATACAGGTGGGATGTTTTCACAGATATTCTTTGTAGCTCAGATTTAATTCCAGATAATTACAGGGATTCCAGCAGAGTCAGCCTGACAACAAAACAGGCAATCCATGCAGGCTTCAACAAGTTTGTCAGGTTTTCTGCTTTAAGTGCAAAAGAAAAGAAAAGTGACAGTTGAGATTTATTACCTGAAACCTGCATTATCATGATCGGCTGCCTCCAATAGCTACTCTGTGCCTCGGCTTGCACGTGTGATCTGACATTTAGGATCCACGTGAGGCTCAGTGTGACGCAGGACAAGGAGAGGTGATGGAATGATCGAGACAAAACTGACAAAAGTTGATTTTTACATCCTTAAAATAAAACAGCTAAAAAAAATGTTTGAGATAAAAAATATATTTTAACTATGTGTTCATCGTAAGTAAGAATAACTGTCAGAGCAAATGTGGTTTGAGGTCATGTAGAAACAGAGTCACATAGTTTCCTCTCAGTTGTTTCTTTCTCATTTACTTTTTTATTATTTACAGCTAACATAAATAACAGCTACACGCACACCATAGTAGTTCTTTAGCTGCTAAGTAGACGGTGTGAAATGATGTAGAAAATTGCCATGATGTATGTAACAAAAACTTTGCTGGAAGCTGTTCCTTTGCGTTGAAAGAAACCGGCTGAGGTGGTTCGGATGTTCAATTGGGAGGCCTTTTCTTGGGCACCGTTCCTCTGAGGTTTTTTGAGCAACTAAGAGGTGACCTCGGGGTAAATCCACAAACTTCTGGGGTTATTTTGATACCTTAGGGTCCCAGAGGAATAAGCGGAGCATAAATCGACTCTGGATAAACAGAAGGTAATGACTGGACGGACTTTGTTTTGGTCGTGTACATTTGTTGCCGCAGGAAGAATTTGTAAAATTTGTGCCGCATCTCTCTCAAAGAGAAGAACAAAAGTTGCAGCTTAATTATAGTGTGACACAAAACTCTAAAGTGGCTAATGTTGATGGGTTTGACAGGTTTGTCCTAAATTCTTTTTGACTACATCAGAAAGTCGGTCTCTTTTTCACACGTTGACAAAGAAGCTTCTTCATAATGGCCTGAGGACGCTGTTCTGACCTTACTTATGTAACAAACACATGTTGCATTACTGAAAGCAGTGATCTGATTTAAAATTGAATTTCATAGTAATAATTTGAAATTATGCGCATTCTGTTTCTCTAAAGTAACTGTTTATGAATAGATAACTATGAATAGATACAGTTGAAACCACAAGTTTACATACACTGTATAAAAAGACATGAAATCTTTTTTTTCTCCTCACTATCTGACATTAAATGTGACTAAACTTTTCCTGTTTTAGGTCAGTTTGGATTACCAAAATTATTTCTATTTGCTGAATGACTGAATTTTGACAGAGAGCAATTTTTTTAAATAGATTTTTTTTAAATTACTTTCTTCAAAGTCTGACCTAAGTCATACAGTTTAGAGGCAATGCTACCAAGCACTAAGGAAATGTATGGAAACTTCTAACGTTTTTTGCATCCTTCCACAAGCTTTTCACAATAGTTTGCTGGAATTTTGGCCCAATCCTCCTGACAGAACTGGTGGAACAGGGTCAGGTTTGTTGGCTTGACATTGACTTTGTTGTCCTGAAGCCACTTTGTAACTAATCTGGTGGTATACTTCGGGTCATTGTCCATTTGGAAGACCTATTTGTGCCCAAGCTTTAACTTCGCTGATGTCTTGAGATGTTGCTTCAATATTTCCACATAATGTTCGTTCCTCATGATGCCATCTATTCTGTGAAGTGCACCAGTCCCTCTTGCAGCAAAACACCCCCACAACATGATGCTGCCACCTCCGTACTTCACAGTTGGGATGGTGTTCTCAGGCTTGCAAGTTTCCCCCTTTTTCCTCCAAATGTAACGATGGTCATTATGGCCAAACAGTTCAGTTTTAGTTTCATCAGACCACAGGTCATGTCTCCAAAAATGAAGGTCTTTGTCCCTGTGTGCATTTGCAAACTGTAATCTGGCTTTTCTATGTTGCTTTTGGAGTAATGTCTTCTTCCTCTCTGAGTATCCTTTCAGTCCATGTCGGTACAGGACATGTTTCACTGTGGATAATGACACTCTGACCAGCTTCAGCAGCATCTTCACAAGGTCTTTTGCTTTTGTTCTGGGGTTGATGTGCACATTTCACCCCAGAACACTTCATCTCTGGGAGACAGAACCCATCTCCTTCCTGGGCGGTACAATGGCTGGACATTCCCATGGTGGTTTAGGCATACTGCGTGGAACCTTCAGACATCTGGAAATTGTACCCAGGGATGAACCAGACTTGTGGAGGGCCACAATTTTCTTCCTCATGTCTTGGCTGATTTCCTGTGTTTTCACGAAAGGAAGCAGTGTGTTTGAGGTGTGCCTTAAAATACATCTACAGGTGTGCCTCCAATTAACTAAAATGTTGTCAATTAACCTATAAAAAACTTCCAAAGCCATGACATCATTATCTGGGCTTTCCCAAATAGTTTGAAGACATAGTAGTCTTAGTGTTTGTTAACTTCTGATTTTGAAGAAAGTGGTAGAAAATTATCTAAAAACAAATCTCTCTCACATTACTCTGGCATTTAGCAAATAGAAATAATTTTGGAAATCCTAGCTGACCTAAAACAGGAAAAGTTTAGTCTGATTTAATATCAGACGGTGAGAAAAAAAAGATTTTGTCTTTTTATGCAGTGTATGTAAACTTCTGGTTTCAACTGTATTTGCCGATATTTTAAAGAAAGAATTCAATCTATCAATGAGTATTAAGGCCTGTCTATCTATACTTTTAAAGTGTTGTTTTACAGACTTTTTCTCTTTTGTACAATTATATTATGTAGTAAAACCACAAATAAAAGTCTTAATGTACTTCTTAAGTATATACATATAAAATCTATATTTTTACAAATAGTAGTTTGTTCTTTTAAAACATGGGGCTTTAAAATTACAGTTTTACAGTATTTAAATATCAGTTACTGCCACGCTTTGTTGTCTTCAGTGTTCCACCTGATTTTCATCCCGTGTAAGAACTTACCATTGAGTTTGTTTTAACAGCAAACTTGTGTCACAACTCTTCAATTGTCTTATTGTTTTTAAGCATTACCTGTTTGCTGCCGATGTTGTTGATGTCCACCTATTCACTTCGAAGTTAACAAACGTGTAATTTATCCAAACACAGAACACGTATAATAATGAACAATAATAACATGTGTCCACAGGATCAGACATCACAAAGGGCAGAACTTTCCAGTTCAACAAGGAAGGGTTAACCGAGCCGGTAGCGTTAATGAAGCTACATGAATAGGAGAGCCGTGTGCATGTTGTAACAGGCTGAGTCATACGTGGTGCTGATGGAGACTCTAAATGTCAGCTTCACATCAGGACACGCAGCGGAGATTAAACCTCCCCCACCATCCTGCTGTCCAGGTTAACAAGCCTCCTCTGTATTTCTCTCACACACTTGGAGCTTTCCACCGCTCGCTCTGATTGGTTCCCCTCCCACGTTTGAAAACTGAAGCTAAAGAGGGGAACGCTCACCTGTGATTGGCCGGACGTGCAGCACCCCGAGGCTGCAGGGTGAAGACATAAGGTTCATTCTGACTGACGTACAGAAGCAGGGCAGCCGGTGCAACTTATCAGAGCTCATACTTTAAGACAAAAGTTATTACGTGTTTATAGAAGCTGTTTCAAGGTGCTGACAGCTTAATTAGCCAATCACATGCTGAGATTTTTCCCCTTGAGGTAGAGCAAATCCTCCGCTCCTGAAATCCTGCCAGTTTCTTGACAGAGTGCTGCTGCGGTTCACAGTGAGGCTACACACTATGCAAATCCTACGAAATCAACTGACTCTATGAGAGATCAGTATCTGTAACCTAGATCTGGAGCCCTGCTGTGTAAATGAAGTGAGGTGGCAGGTGGAGTATTACAGGTTCAACTGCATACAGGAGAAAAAGATGAACGACACAAAATGTCATTTAAGTCCACATCCAGGCGTATATGGGAAAAAGGCCAAGAAAAGTTAAAGTAATCTTATTTTTAACGCGGTATTTATGTCTCTAAAACGACACTGAGAGCCGAGTTGTGCCAGAGGAGAAATAATGAGGCGATATCCAACCACGTCAGAAGGCTCAAGTGTTTGTACTTGTTCTGAACGGCCACGCTGGAAGGCTTTTCCATCAGATTGCACATAAAGAAAGACAGCAAGCCCAGTCAAACATATAAAACAGGCAGCATTACATTCCACTAAACACTAGAAACTCATATCAAACACCAGGATCTCTCGGGGTATTTCCAAGACGTTATTAAAGCTCAATTGATTCCATACATCTTTTCCATCTAAATCATAATGTGCATTTTTTTCCAGTCAAGCAGAAAGTAAATTTGTTTCTGTCTGTTAAATCTGGCTAATGTTTATTCGTTAATCTGCCTAAATCCACCTCCTTCAGTATCAATGCAAGACACAACTCTTGGTCTCACACTGAACATACAAACGTAGAAAGTCGCCTTCTTTCCTTTGACTTTATTTAACAACCAACTGTCCCCATATTGACGGAGAAGCTGTGTGCAGTTTGTGAAGGTGACACCAAATCAATCACAGCTCGAAAATGTAAATCTTTGTATTGCTGTCCGTTGGGACTTCACAGTGCTTCATAGAGGGGAATTTTTCGGGGTTGTTCAGCAAAATTTCCAGAAGTACCAAAATGAAACACAGTTATGCTTCTTCAGATAGAAAGATTTGAGATGTCCGTCATATCATGAATATAGTGGAGGTTCATGCGATTTAGTTTGTGGTGCAACATTTAAAGTTAAAATTAAAAAAAAAAAAGTCACATATCCCACCCAGTTTAACCCCCATCAAAACACATATGAGAGTAGTTACAATTCAAAGGGAGCCACAAATACAAACTGAATTGTGATAAAGTTGGTAAGATGCTTATTTTCAGATCAAAGCTGTGTCTGAAAGTGGTTTTATTTCAGAAAAATACCAACACACGGGGATTTAAATTGAACTACGTATAACTCTTTCCTTTCCAACACGGATGTTTTTTTTCTCAGTAAAAGAGATAAGAAGCATTTGTTGACATGTGCGTCATTGACAGTCTGCGTTCCTTTAACAATAGTTGTCATTTAACCTTCAGTCTGTCAGGAGAACCTGTTGTGCGTCTGCTCGATCAGGCCCTAACATGTAACTCTAAAGCTGCAATAAGGAAATGGAAAAACACTCACATGATTAGTCTAAAGTGACTCTTATGAAAACTGCACTCAGGGACATAAAAGCCTTTAGAAGCTGTGAAACACTTCAGTCAAAACAGCCGTCATGATAGTGTAATAAAACATTTGGTTCATTATTAAACTTCACGCACTGAGAATGTGAGCCTATCACAGAACACTGTGTGGCTCAGATCCAGTTTGTTCGGTTGCTGAACTTAGACACGGATGTTGAAATGATTAGCGGTGGCCGTGAAATCGCAGCCGTTGCTGGAGTTGGTCCAAACCATCTTCTGGTAACTTTTCTAATTACCTGGAAAAACAAGTTCTGCTGAGGTATCAACTGTTACTGCTTCGCAACGTGAGGGGGTTTAAATTTTGAATCATAACAGTGATAGCAAGTTGGTGCCTCAGGGCCGTTGAGCAAACTGGCAGGGGGAGGTTTGACAACATTTATTGGTCTTAATTTGAATATTAGCAGCTCCAGACAGCAGAACGAGGTCAAAGTTTGACCTCAAACACTCCCAAATCATGAGTAATGTGCACACAGATCAGTGTTTGTCACCAACTTGGCTGGTCTGAGGTGTTTTACAGGAAAAACAAATGAGAGGAAAAAAAATAAAACTTTAATTTCCAACCACAAATATTTGCTGTAATGTTTTTTTTTAACCAACATTTTATATTACGTTTTGTATATTACAACCCTTTTACCATAAATCTGATCTAAATGGTGCGTTAAACTCCATCTTTTCCAGCATGTATCGGATAGGTTTGCCTTGATTTTTGAAAATTTTGATCTTTCAAAATTTTGCTCAAGTAGGCATGTTTAGTTAAGAAAATATACTAAAAGTATTTAATAGAAAAGTACTTAGTGCAGGAATAATGAATACAAGTTTTAGTATAGACCTTTGCCTTCTATATAAGCTAATCATATTTTTAGTTTTCAGTTGTTGCCCGAAACTTGCATAAATTCAATCAAATTTAATCTGGATAACTTCATAGCACAAATGATTCAGTTTGATATATGGTATTTATTCTTATGAATTTGTAAGACTGATTTCATTTAAGCCTCATATCCCTGTTGCATATAGCAGAGACAAATGCATTGTGAAGTTGTGCATATCAACAAGAGCACTTGATGAATATACTTTATATGTTGTGTGTTGTGCTGCATGGTGGCTCGGTGCATCACCTCACAACTAGAAGATCCCTGGTTCACGTCCTGGTTAGGATGTCTGTGTGGAGTTTGCATGTTCTCCCTGTGCAGTGTGGGTTCTCTCTGGGTTCTCCGGCTTCCTCCCACACAGTCCAAAAACATGTTGAGGTTAATTGGTGATTCTAAATTGTCTGTAGATGTAAATGTGTGAGTGTGCTTGGTTGTCTGTCTCTAAGTGTAGCCCTGTGATAGACTGATGATCTGTCCAGGGTGTCCCCTGCCTTCACCCTGAGTCAGCTGGGATAGGCTCCAGCCCCCCACAACCCTAGTTAGCCTAGTTAGGATTAAGCAGTGTGTAGATAATGGATGGATGCATGTTTTGTGTTTGAAATGTAAATCTCGAAAGTAACTGCACCTGTGAAATGGAGAGTGTAAGTGAAAATCGACAGGTAAAGTACCTAAAAAAGTACCTAAAAAACATTCCTCTGTCCCCCCTGTGTGTTTTCAAGGCGGTGGCCATTGTGATGGACCTCCTGACAGACCTGCAGATCCTCCAGGACCTGCTGGATGCCACGTCCCGGCGCGGGGTGGCGGTCTACGCAGTGCTGGAGGCCAGGGGAGTGCCACACTTCCTGGATATGTGCTCTCGGCTGCAGATTAATGCAGTGCATCTGCGGGTGAGGAGACGAAGCTCTGCAAACACAGCATGACGCACGGCTGCACAGGGAGGAGGCTCACTAGTTCAACTCACTAAAAGCAAATTAACCTGGGAAACAGATCAGTGGGTCACTGCTCTAATTGACGTGGTAGATACTCACTGCAGTCACTGGATTAGTACTTACTCATGATGTCAGGCTCTTTAAGAAATTCCCAACAAGCTATAATCTGCCTGTAATCTGCTGTAAATGGGTCAAAAAAACACCCAAATATCAGTTAAAAAAAAATAAAAAATTAAACTGTCAAACATGCTAGTATAACAGTTTAGCTCTCTAAGCTAATTAGCAACTAAGCTAACTAAGTTACTAAACTGCTTAGTTTTGGCAACAGTTTGTCTGCAAACTTCAGCTTGTGAGCTACTTTTAGCTGGCGATGAGAAAGAACATTTATATGATATATGTGTGTATTAAAATCTAATTTTAATACACACATACATCATATAAATGTCATTTCATGTAAGAAAAGTTTTTAAAATTAGACAATGAAGTGAAAACTGGAAAGCAAATTACTGTCATTGTTACATGTGTGTAAAACAAATAGGTTCTTGTGTAATAGTCGTAGCTCAACTGATTCAAAAACATAGAAATTACAATATCAGTAAGAGTCAGCTGTAAATACCGCATAATGAGTGCATAGGCGGCAGGAAAACTGAAACATTTAGGGAAAGGTGTTTGAAACAGTTAGCTGAAAGTAAGGGTTAAAGGGTTGAAATACTTTAATAGAAGTATTGGCTAACCAGGTGAAAAGGCTAGCTAGAAGTACAAGATTTATCATCTACATTCAACTAGTTATTTAAAATATTTGGAAACAGTTGAAGTGGTTACAAAAAAGCCATTGATTAACAGTTGAACAAGCTAGTTAGCTGAGGTAAATAGTTATCAGAAGGTCGTGAATAACTGGTTGAAAAGTAAAGTTAAAGATAAACCTTTAACTGAACTATTTAGCTAGAAGTCAAGGGGAAATGTTTGAAAAGGCTGAAAGTAATAGATAGATTATTGAAATATGTGCCTAAAGGAAAAATATTTCTAATTTGCCTTTAGCTAAAAGATAAATCTTTAACTTTTAGCACACTATAACAGATTTAGAAACGTAAAGTGTTTATAAGCAGTCTGAAGGTATGGATAAACCGTTTAGTTTAATTTTATTAAATAGTTAACTTAAAATCTTGGATGAACAGTTCAAATAGTTAGCTAACAAATAGACATGGAGTGTAGTTCATATTAGCGAAGTCTAAGGGATAAATTGTCAGGATAGTATAATGTAGTAATAATGGATAATAGTTGTGTAAAATAATGTAACTACTTTAAATAACTAAAAGCTATAAATACATTTGCACAAAATGGATAAAAGAAAACATATAAATCTCTAATGGTAATGCGTACAGTTGTTTTGAAGAACTTGTGGAAAATTTAATGATACAAGAACAAATTCCTAATACAGTTCAATAGAGTTTTTCTTATCTTTTCAAAGACACAAGTGTTTGAATTATTTAGGACACCTGGAAAGTGCTCTAACGCTGCAGAAATAGAGCAACCCTCTTAAATACACTGAAGACTTGGGTTGAATGTGTTGCAGAACCTGAGAAATGACAACGAGCAGTGCTGTAGATTAAGAGGGAACAGCAGTCCACTGAGCCACACTGTCATCCTATCTCCACAGGGACACAATGCCAGCCTTATCTGCTGTACGGACAGTTTAGTAGCTCCAGTCTGGTTTATCTGGAGCACTGGAAGAGCTGCCCAGAGTGGTGTCAGTTGATAAGGCTGTGAAAGGCCTTTTCAGAGCGCCGGGCTCTGTTACTCTTACTTCTTACAAATGAACATTCATAGATCCTGAGAACAGATCCAAAGGCTGTAACTCGATGCTTCACCTCCTCTGTGAGCTTAGCGACAGAGAAAAGCCTCCTCCCAGTTTGTCTGCTCAGTATTTACGTCGGCTTTCTGTCTCCCTTTTCCCTTCTCTTCCCTTTAAGCAAATATGTGGATAAAGGGTTTGAGTTTTTGCTTGTATTTCTTGAGAGCGTCGACTTTATGTCACGAGGTGTGACCTGACATCTCAGTAAATCAACCAGTCATGCACGATACAGCCACAGACATTTGACAACTAAGTGTGTTTACTCAGGCCAACTGTGTGATGCTAAGTCAGGTGAAATGTGTAATTAAGCGGGTGTTTCTCTGCAGAATCTCCGAGTGCGGATGGTGCGAGGAGCAGGGCTGGCCCTGTCCTTTGGAAAACTGCCTGGCTCCCTGAGCTCCAAATACATGCTGGTGGATGGAGAAAAAGTCTTGTTTGGCTCTTACAGGTGAATATCCAACAATACCTTCAACTCATGCTTTTGGTTTGTTTCCGCTTTTCTGCCCAGTTTTTGGTAAGGAAGCAGGAAATATGTATTTGTGTTTCTGTGCGGCGGTTAAAAGAAACACATTGTTCTGATTAATTGGAGATAAAAACATATATGTAAATAAATTTAAAAGCTTTACAAAACCAAAAAGAATACAAAAAAACCCAAACAATTCTAACAAGTATCTAAAAACATATCACACAATTGTCCTGATTCAATAGAGAAAGTACTAATAGATGTGTAGTTGTCAGTTACCATAGTGTACTTAAATGCACATTTTGAAGTATCACAAACAATAAGTTATTGGAAACAGCAAAATGTGGAAGAAAAACACACAATTTCGCAAACAATTTTTTGTTTTTGTTTTTCTGACATAGCAAACACTTTTTCATGGCCGATACCTGCTGCCATGAAAGTATGATTGCAGATTTCCTAATTAAAAGCAATTCCTGAAGACTACGACTATTTTTTGAAAATTTCTTTCAGATGAACAAAGTTATTCAGTTTCTTCGTTTTCTTTGCGATTCTTTATCAGTCTGGTTTTGTTTACGACTTTTTCTATTCTGTTTATTGCAGTCATGTGTAACATTGCCTAAAGTGCCACTTTTTTAACTTTATTTTTCCATTCCTCAATAATTTTTTTTCTTACAGATCAAAACCCAAATACGCATATTTACAAAATATGTAGCAATATTATAAAACAGTTGAGAGGATAGGAGCGTAACCCCAGAGACTATAAAATGAAAAAACTATTTCCATAGACCACAGATCAAAAACAAAGCAGGTTATCGCCTGTTGTTGTGAGATACGTGTCACATTTTTCTCATAGAGCATCGTGTTTGTCCTTTTGGAATCTTAAACTGAAAGTGGTACGTTCCATACACTGGATTTTTATGATTATGGCTGCCCATTGGTTGATAGCAGGAGGCTCCCTACAGAGCCATCACCTTGTTACAGCCTTTTCACTCGCTGTCATGAGGAGTTTTAGGAGACATGTGTCACTTTTGGATAAGTTCAAGTCCATGTTCCCTAAATTTAAAAAAAAAAGAAGCCACCTTCTGATGAAACTATGCAGCTTAGTTTATTCTCTCCAAAGCAGTTCATATAAACAAACATGATTTGCATTTCCTTTTTTAAAATTTTGCGACCCTTCACAAGTTGGCTTTATAATAATGTGGAAACACGGCGGTTAAACTATTCACCTCGTGCAAAAGGTCATAGCAACAGATGAGGTCTTCAGTGGCTTGTAAACATTTGATTTAAGCAATATTGTTGCACACTGTACAATGAAATATGCAAATCACCCACACCTGTTTCATTCCAGTCACGTCGGGATTTTGTCATTGTGGTTTGCAAATTTATTGAGCGGTACGACAAAGCTCTTTTCCTTATCAAAGTACTGGCACATTTTATGAGACCTCTTTGGCATCAACAGGAAGGTTTCCCAATCTTGTGGTATTGTTTTTTCCGTCGCTGTCTGCAGTCTGGTTGTGTAGCATTGTGACTTCTGATTGTCTGGCAAACAATGAATGATGTTTAGCCGCGTTAATTAGAGTGGTGTTGACTGCTCAGAATGTGTTCAAATGAATGTTTTTAATGTGAGTTTATGAAAATGTGTCTGTCTGAATGTGGCTGTTCTAATCAGAGTTCTGAAACTACATGTGATTGTGGTGACCACTTAAATGCAGCTCACTTTTGTGGTTTCTAAAGTGTGAATTTCATCTCTACACAAATGCAACCTGATCTGAACCTATGTCTATATGTACAGAAAGCTTTTTGAAAACTAGTTTTACTATATCAATGAACATTAGGTCAAATATATGTGTTAAAAATATTATTTTTTTGGTGTTTATTTTAAAAAGTGTTGTTTTCTATTTGTAGATCATGTACAATTATTGAGACTATGTTTTCTCTTGAAATGCTTCACTATAGAAGCATTGAACTCATTTGCGACAGTAACACACAGTTAGCGAGTTGAGTTTAATCTAAACTAGTCAATGAACGCAGGCAACATTGCTCCAAAGGCTGACCTCCTCATAGTGAGGAACAATCAGGACGCTGACTATTGAAAAACAATCTAGATAGCTTCATTGTAATTGCCTTTAAACTGGGGTAATTTTCACTTTTGCAAGATTTCTTTATTTTTTTCCATTGTTTTTGTGAACTGGTACTCGATGACGACAGTCTGTTTCCCACGCTCAGATGTAAATGTTAAGAGGCAGGCAGGTGTGAAACGGTTTCTCAGAAAACAACAAGCTGCAAGACCATAAAAAAGTCAGTTAGGCCAGCGCACTAATAACCCTTTAAACACTCTATGAAGCATAATAAAGTTGTGGAATGATTAACGACTGAGCCAGACATGTATAAACCTGTGAGGCTATAATGAGGAAGCAAATGGCTTTCATCCGACTGCTTACTATTAAATAATTAACCAACTTCAGAGGGGGAAAAAAATTTACCTACATTTTTTTCATCCTTACTATTAGAATATATGGAGAATCCTAATTTAAAATAATGCTGCAACAGGCTGTTAGACTGAGGTGTGATATGGGTGAATTCATCCTTGATCAGACAATAGTATTTTACAGCAATGTTCTACTGTTCTTAAAATCATAGCTGTGGCACAGTTTCTAAAGTTTTGGTGCGACTCCAGTTGCTTTTATATCGGCTGTTTAATCTGTATTGGGAAACTACAAGCACATAAAACGAGGTGAATAAACAACCTGCGTTTCCCTCTGTGCGATGATTATCACATTCGTACAATACTTTAGCACCTGTATAAACCTGTAACACCAATATAGTTATAAAAAAAGAAATAAAACTTACATTGAAACACAGGAAGTTTTAGTTGTTGGCAGATACTGTACATTAACAGATGCTTGCCCTTATGTCTGTTTGTCTCATAGTGCTTTATGAGCAAGTTATCAAATATTTGTGCGCCAATTATAGATACTAAATAAGTGTTACTGAAAACTGGCAAATCCCCAGAATTGCCCAGAAAGCAATATGATTTAAGCTCCTGCATGCAGCACCCAGTGTCGGAATACAGATGACATGTTTCCACACGTCATCATCAAACCATGTCACTGACCACATCAGTGAAGAAGACGCTTTCAGTTCGACCTCCTAACACACCAGAAATCAAACAAAGTCAAAACCGGAGTGACTGATTCGTGTGAAGTGAGTCATGTTCTGACTCACCTGTGAAACTTCGTTATGACTAGAAGTTTATGTCAAGAAATTTGGGTCCATGTGCAGAGCTGAATGCTGTCCTGTGTGATTGCTATGAACTTGTACAAATGTGCTGCTTCTTACAGCTGCCATGTCACAAAATTCTTGAAATGTGATTGCAAATGGTTGTTGCAGCTGTGTTGTCATTGGTGAAGCTGTAATTTGCTGAGTAAGTTAAGTCTAAAAATATAAATGAAGTAGCTGGTTGTATGAATCTGATGTGTTTACTCTCACACTTGAAGAATGAAAACAGACATGGCTGTAAAGTTTATAGACACTTTTAAAGGGATAGCTGGAAATTTTGATTTTGATTCTTGCTAACTGCGCAGAGATTGAGATTTCCTGGACCAGGTATCACCTGACAGGAACCCTGCACCCTGACATCAAGTCTGTCAGACCACCAGAGTGCGTGGGTGGAGGTGATGGAGAACACAGAGTTGTGGGTGCTTTTATGGCCTTGGTGTTAGACCCTAACGCCCGTCTTGCAAGAGCCTCCCCCAGGAGAGGTCTGGGTGCTGCAGCGAGCTAGCATGCCTCTGGAGACTGCATGAAGTGCTAAGGCACTCCATTGGATATGACAAGAGCCAGAGAGGACGCACACGTGGGATTTGTTAATGCACCCAAACTTTGCGTTTTGGTTTTGTGCTGTCATGGTGATTTCTGTCACTATCGTTGCATCACCCAGCCCTAACTCCCTTTTTGTGTTTTTTTCTGCCACAGTTTTGGTAAACACTTGTCTATTATTCCCACAGTTTCACCTGGACTTCATCTCGGATAGACAGGAACACCGTCACTGTGATGTCGGGGCAAATCGTGGACTTCTTCGACAACGACTTCAGGGAGCTGTATGCCGTGTCTGAACAGGTGGACCTCTACAGGGAGTTCAACATCACCAAGCCACCTCTTCCTACACCCATCAGGAAGCCAAAGGTTGAGCATATCCGGCCTCAGCCCGTCTCCACGTCTCGCTTTCAGGTATCAGTCGGGGACTCAAGACAGATCGATCTGAAAGTACCGGCACATAAATACCACAATCCCAAGTACTCCCTGGTTTTTGGGAACAGTACGGGCCTGACAGGTTCCTTACAGGACTTGTCCACTAAAAGGGACCTGCCGGTAGGTGGTCTAAACCAGAGCAATGGCCTGCAGAACGGCCTCCTACGTAACAGCAAAGAAAAGGTGGACAGAGTCTGCCCCCAGAGTCCTGGTTCACCCACAGAGGATGAGGATGAGGACGGAAAGGGAGGCCTGAAGAAAAACCAGGCAGCCGGAGTAAAGAAACGCAGCTCCTTCAGGCACTTCCTGAAAGGCAGAGGCAATCAGGGTACAGAGACTATAGAGGAAGGCGTGGTCACTCCTCAGACTCCCTCCCCCACACAGAAAGTATCGGAGACCAATGGCGTTGCAGGAAATGAGCTGGAGGACTCTTTTGAGATCATTGACAAACCAGGACCACTGAAATCCAAATTCAAGAAGCCATCTAAGCTTATTCAGAGGAGCATGTCTCTGCAGACCATCAACACAGGAGATGAAGATGGTATGTGGTTTAAATATCTGCTGTGCTTCAAGATTGTTTTCATTTTGATCAATCTGATTATTATTTTCTTGATTATTTGATTAATTATTTGGTCTGTAAAATGTCAGAAAACACTGAAAAACATTTGTCCAGATTTAGAAATATTTTCTGTCCAAAATTTAAAAACTATTTAGTTTACTAAAGTTTTAAATTTACTTATTATTTCAGGTCAAGTCCAAATACCAATATAGCTGACTGGAAAAAAAGGCTTTTTGGTACCATTTGATGCAAATTTTAGCAAAATAAGATAAACTACCCAAGATATATTTAATACAGAAATGTAATGCAATGTCAATTTATCCTACCAGAAAAACATAGAAATTCTCATATTCTTGCCCTAATTGTGAATTAAATTCAAGTAAAGGGTAGAACGTCTTGAATAAATCTTCTGTTTTCTTTTGTTTCAACAGGACTTAAAAGCCGCCGGCGGCATCAGAAGAAGAACTGCATCCAGTCATGAGACAAAAACACGAGGATGAAAAGGATTGCATGGTTAAACAGCTGCAACAGCTGAGACACAGTATCAAATATCTGTAACCAGGTGACATTATAGGAAATCATCGCCGCTGCTTCAGTCTGCGCTGAAGGTCACCACTAAAGACATGTTGTAGTTGAAGTTGTAGCCAAAGTCCTGATGGAGAGAGATTTCATTGCCATAATTTTCTACGATTTTTTTGTATTAAATTATTCTGCAGTCAAGTGTTTCTATATTTTACACTAGTATGCTTGAATCTGAACACCACAGAGGAGCTGAGGGCCGCCCCAGGTGGCGTGGGCGGATTACATCACACCTGTTAGGTATTCTGGTCACTACGGCGACAGGAAAAGTGATCAGTTGTGGTGTAGTTTCCGAGTGTCGCCTTACCGAGAACCCTCGGTAACAGAGTAAGTGTTCATCAGAATGTGTTATACAGGCTGTGAATAATGTATGAGGACCTGTGTGCTTGCACTTTGACATTTTGTTTTTTTTTATCCAAGTGAAACTGGCACAAATTAAAATGTGAATCCTTGAGAACCACTTGATCTGAACTGTGTAGCAGAAAATGCAATAAAAAGATAAAAACAGCTGTAAATAACAAGTTTGTGTGATTTGATGTGAGGCGAAAGGCAGTGTGTAAACAGATATGTGATAAAACCTTATTTAAGATAAAGGAACTTGTTAATTTAATACAGTTTTATAGTTGTAAAGTTATGAACACATTGCCTTAATGAAGGTACGCACCACAGTGTCTACATTTCAAATAAGGCTTGGATTTCTGTTACTGGAGTTCTGTTCATAACACAACTAACGGGTATGTGGAGTAATTCAAAAACATCGTTCTGTACCTTTATATGGCAGTGGAGGACGTTTAAAAAAAAAAAAAAAAAAAATATTTATTATTGCGGAACTTTAAGAACAGAAAAAACACAAAATATTTTAAAGACTCAAACAAGTTTTAGAGTAACAGTAAGCTGGATGAATGTTGTTCCAGTCTGACCTGATGGTGACAGTGTTGGCTCACTGTTACAACGCCCAAAACCAGACATGAAAATACAGAAGTTTGTCCGTTTTGCTTTAATAACTTGATGAAACAGCACCTGGGCGTCTGTTTTAGTGAAGAACAGCAGCTGCTCTGTAAATGGTGAGGAATCAGCTTTTTTTTTTTTTATATGTTCATGAATGAGATCATTTACAAACAGACCCAGAACATGAAAATGACCTTATTAGGGGTCCCAAGAGAGGTTAGGACTGATGTGGGGTTCAAAAGGAGTGTTGGGCCATGACACGGTGTGAGGGCCAGATGTTGTTGTTTAGATCAAAACTGGATGTTAAAGATGCAGATCTTCAGGCTGGAGTAGGCTTGAATACAGATGGCATTTATTAACCAAGTCGTAAACAAAATAAAAAATAAACTTCAGGGAATTGAACCCAACCAACTTGAGCTGAAAGGGTTATAAAAACACTAACTAAAGTGGCAGCCTCCTCTCTTACTCTACAATAGTCACAACAAAAACAACAACACTATAGTCACTTTTCCTTGACGTCAGTGGAAAACATGATAAGGTCAAGGAAAGATATGAGGAAGAATTCCTCAGGACTTTGACAATAAGAGAATCAGCTTGCATTTACACTAGGCCACGTAATTGTGCGATGGTGGATTCACAAGTGGTTTCATACAACCGACGGTAACAAATATCTGAAGATAATTCAAGCTTTTGCCGCAATATTATGACAAAGTAGGATGTGGTAGTTGAATGCATTTAGCATGTGACAGTATCTACTTTGTAAAGGCAGCTCCAGTCTGTAGTGAGAGGAAATAGAATAGAATGCAGGGTTTGAATGTTGCTGCAAGGAGTTGTGGGCTGGCATGAACTCAGTTCATTTCTATAAGGAATGTTCAAGTGTATGCTTTGGTAACGGCGATAAGAAAGAAAGACCTGAGGCACTTTTCCTTAGCATTTATAAAATTCAATCAGCTCTTCTAATGGCTGTAACTTTGAGACTTCCAGGTACTTCTTTTCATTTCACTGGAATTTTTAAGCAAAAAAAAAAAAAAGCTCTTGGCTGCAACCAATCACTGACCTTCTGCCTCTTCAGCCTCACCTGCATGGACCCTACCACCTGCCCATGTGAGGGAGGGGTGTCTTAAACCAAAAATTAATGTGAATAAAATACAAAAGTATCACTTGGTCTTTTTTGCTGACATACACCTGAAACATGGGCACATATAAGCATATATACTCCATATCCTAATGTTTACCAGTGACTACAGAAACCCCTCTCCCTTCCTCCCCTGCTTCTCCTCTACTTCGGCCTCTCAGTGCTAATCATGCAAACCTGCCTTCACTCCTCTCCGTGATTAGCAGCAGATTTCAAGGCAGCACCGAACAGGTAAAACCACAGCAGAACAGTACATAAATGAACCAACCAACTCATAGTTCTGTAACAACAGAAGCAGGTAATCTAGCAGTAGTGTACCAGCACAAATGTCTCATTTGGTGATCTCACAAAGACACACTCTCCTAGCTGGGAGCTTGAAAAGTTTGTCCTGAATCCTGAAAAAGCCCACGCTCGACTACAAACCAGTGTGGCAGCTTTCTACAATAATCATATTGCAATAACCAGGAGCATGTGATCACCTTGTGACTAGTATGGGTTTGGTAGGTGTCACTGAGAAGTAGCAGCAGACAGTACAAACATGAAATATAACAGATAAATAATACTGCACTCTGATTTTATGTAAGTGCAAGGATCATGTTCAGTGCGTTTAAGGGGTAGTATGGGTTTTAATGAAGTGACAAGAGAAGAAAAATGTATTGAAAGAAGAAATAAATGTGTTAACTTGTAACTATTATTATTTTCCTACCTACAGCTGGGATGTGTGAGGAGCAGTAGCTAATAAGGAGCCAGCATCAGCAAAGCACAAAGATGAAGTGGCAGCTAAAGTCACAAAAACAAACCTGAAGAAGTTTGCTTTCCACAGGTGAGTCAATACACTCTAGATGCTTGTATAACGTAGTTTCTTTTCGTGTGTTTGTGCTGCCAGGAAACCACAAGGCTCTATCAAAGCATCAGACACACAGAAACTGCACAGGAAAGGCAGCCACGCATCAGATATGACGTTGATCTGATAGATTTATCAGTAAATAACAGGATAACACACAGATTCTCATGAATGCTCACCCCACTTCGTCATCACACTAATAACTAGGACAGTCAGTGTGTCACAGTTAGTGAACATTTAAACCAAGAGCGGTCTGATCAAAGAGAAGGACTTGCAATGGAGATGTAGCGCCATCTGTTGGTGAAAGAGCCACACAAACCTACAGCCAGAAAAACATATTTACTGAACAAAATAGTTTGATTATCAACGAACTAAAGTACTTAAATTATACATGCAATATTTAAAAACGACTGAACGTACATGTTCAGCAAATATAGACAAATAAAATATACTGTACAGTTTCTAAGATTCATAAGTTAAAATTGTATTTTGAAAAGACGTTTGTAGCTTTTAAAACTGTTTTTACAGCAGTTGGCAGTAACAAAGCGCTGCTCTGTAAGAACTTACACGGAAGAATAGAACTGGAGTTACAGGATTTTATCAGTAAGTACAGTAAAAAAAAAAAAAGGATTCAAGATCCTCCATATAGGAGGTTTTTTTTTTTTTTTAATTTTAAAGCTTCATATTTTTTCTACGAGATGAAAAGAAGTGGAGCAGGTTTAACAAAGTGCTACATACGTCAGACCAGTGAGATCTGTGCCGTTTTGAATTCTGAAGGATAAAGTGAGTGAAAAGCAAATCAAATTCAAAACTAGTAAAAGTGTTCAGACTCTAAGTTAAAGCTCTGAATATACAATATTAATAAACTGTACATTTTATAAAGCTACATTATTCAGAGGAATAAAGAATTGTAAAATAAAAATTGTATATTCTGACATGAAATAATAAATATTTGTAACTCCACATAAACTACAGCCACAACATACTTCTGTCATCGCTTTTGTTTCTCATTCTTGTTAAGCTTCTTTTCATTTTGCTTTGTTTTGTGCTTATTTTGCTTCTGTTTGTGGCTGTTTTGTGTCTTTGCGGTAATTTTATGTCTCTTTACAGCCATTTTGTGTGTCTTTTGGAATATTTAGTGGTTATTTTTGGATCTCTTGGGGACCATTTTGTGTCTCTTTGGAGGCATTTTGTCTGTTTGTCGTCAGTCAGAGTCTATTTTCAGCCTTTTCAGCTGTCTTCATGGTCATTTTGTGTCTCTGCAGTAATTTTGCATCTCTTTGGGGTTATTTTGTGTCTCTTTGTGGTCTTCTTAAGTCTCTTTGGTCATTTTGCATCTATTCGTTTTTAGTTTGTGCTTCTTCGTGGTCATTTGAAGTTGTTCTCCAGCCATATTGGGATTTTCATTTTGGATCTCATGATTGTTTTGAGGCTTTAAGATCATTCTACATCTGTCTGGTCATTCTGGGTCTTTCTGCAGACATATTGGGTCTCTTTGCAGTCATCTGAGCCTGATTGTTGTCGAGTTAAATGTGTTCACAGTTGCCTTTTGTCTCTTTTATGGCCTGTTTTTGTTCTTAGTTCGATTCTCTTTGTGATCATTTTGTGTCTGGTCTTGGTTTGCGTCTCAGTGCTCATTTTGCATCTGTTTGTGGTCATTTTGAGTCACTTTGAGGCAACTGAAATGTGACTTCAGGTATACGGAGGTTCAAATGGGTCCAGAGTTTGCACCCAACAGGGAAGTTCAGTAAAACATTGAAGACAGTCTCAGACCAACTACCTGCAACCTTCCTCTTCCTCTCCTTGCAGCAGGTGTTTGTCAGTACTCATCAGCCCTTGAAGTCAGAGCAGTAGTGCATGCAGTTTGCAGAAGCGATGTGAAGCCTTTACACTGCAACCGGCAAAGTTCACTTTTCTTCATTCACACTACAAGTGTTACTTCCCAGTTTGCACATTTCTGTGAAACCCATTTTTAACAGTCATTAAAGCTCAGGGTGGTTCATGTACAGGATCCAAGTGCGGATGGCTTATTCACTGACGTTGCAGTCTTATGAAGAAGTGTTGCTGATGACCTTCCTCTTGCGTAGAAACACCAGGTCATAGAAAGGGTCCTTGGTGATGCTCGCCCTGAGAAACAGCATGAAGATTTAGTTCAGTGACCTTCGGGAACAGCCGTAGGTTGTTTCATTTCTCCCTGTTTGTCAGTGACCAGTTCCTCCTATTGTTTTCTATACTGATTATTTTTAGTTGACTTGAAAGCATTTAAAAGAAGATTGCTATTAATTTATGGAACATTTTCCAATGTGACAACTTCAGTATGCTTCATTTCAACTGAAATCTGCCAATGTTTGGCCTTCTTCTTCTTTTTTTTTTAAAAAAAGCTCCATTCCAAGAATTAGTATTTGGCTCAGGTGTTCATGTGCCTGTCAGGATCATTTATAATCTCTTCAACAGTCCTATAACTTACCAACATTGCCATGCTAGCATGCTAAACTTAGATGGTAAACATGGTAAACATTACATTGATGTGTTGACATTGTCAGCATGTAACCAAACAGAAGGCGATACCTAAACAATATAAATGACTAACTGATTATCAGAAGTGTTGTTTATTGTTAACCTCTGCTGTCGGAGATTCTGTCCCAGTTTCATGCTCCCAATTCTACTCTTTTATCTCCAACATGAGAGTGATCCCTCACCAGCTTCCCACCAACAGAGTTATATAAGTTATACTATGTAATATAAAGCCATGCATGAGTTGGCACTGGGATACATTTCCAAACTTCTCTGCCCCTACATCCCCTCTACACCTCTTAGACCCTCAGAACTACTTCTTTTAACTGTATGATTATCAAGGCTGATGGATAAAGGAGATCGTGTCTTTGCAGTAGCAGCTCCAAAGCTTTGGAACAACATTTCTCTTTTAATCGAATGTTCTTCCACCATTGATATTTTCTAGAAAATCTAAAGACGTAAATGTTTTCAGTGACTTTTAGCTGCTCATAATGGTCTTTTAAAAATTGATCTTACTAGTTGCTGTCCTCCCTGTCTTCACCCTAAGTCGGCTGGGATAGGCTCCAGCCCCCCACGACCCCAGTGAGGATTAAGCAATGTATAGATAATGGATGGATGGATGGATGGATGGATGGATAGTTGCTGTCCTGCTTTGCCTCTTCTAGTAATTTACACCACTTTTATTATTGATTACAAATTGAAGTCTTATCCTGTCTTGATGTTTGCTCATAATGCTGCTGCTGCCTGTCTTATTACATGTCCAGTACTTTAGTAATCCAAGGTTGTTTTGAACATGCTATCCATCCATCCATCCATTATCTATACACCACTTAATCCTCACTAGGGTTGCGTGGGGGCTGGAGCCTATCCCAGCTGACTCAGGGTGAAGGCAGGGGACACCCTGGACAGGTCACCAGTCTATCACAGGGCTACACTCAGAGACAGACAACCAAGCACACTCACATTCACACCTACGGACAATTTAGAATCACCAATCAACCTCAACATGTTTTTGGACTGTGTGGGAGGAAGCCGGAGAACCCAGAGAGAACCCACAGTGCACGGGGAGAACATGCAAACTCCACGCAGAAAGATTCCGGTGCACCCACTGGGACGCGAACCGGCTTGAACATGCTATATAAATACATTTGTTTTGGTGTACATATTTGAGAAACAGAGCCAAAGGTGGAGCCTTTTACCTGGCCCATTGAAAACCTACTCAAATGCTTAATCCTGTCAGTGGGTGTTTGCTACAGCTAGCAGCCAGTTAGCTCAGCTTCTTTAGCACAAACACTAGAAAGTAAAGGAAATGGCCTGCTAGCTTGGCTCTATCTATGCATAACTAAATCTCCCCTAATAGCCCCTTGAAGTCACTCTTCACCAAAAAACAAGGTGTAAAAATTCCAATTATCATTTACATATCAGGCTGTTTCTTGACTCTGTGTGGTTGCCAGGCAACCAGCTGAGACTCCAGGGCTACTCAGAAACAGTTCAGTACGTAACCCTGAGTATAATTAAGCTGTACTTTTATTTGAGATGACTGATAGGTCAAGGGGTTAATTGTTGCTTGTTTGAACTCTTTCTGATGGTGTGTGCCAGGTTGAGCCTTGAAAGACGTGACTCGTAACGACACATGGCCTCCCATGTGTCTTCTGCAGCCTCAGCAGCAGCTCTCACCTGATGGCCTCGATCCAGTCGTCCCGTTCTTCTGCGCTGCCAGCACTGAGCTTATAAGACTGGTGTTTACCTTGCACCACTCTGCCTTTGTTCTCCGTCTTGCAGGCCTTGATCTTTTGTCCTTTGGGGTTATATAACTCCAGACAGTACTGTTAAACACACATGCAGACACACATGTATCATTGTTACTGTGTGCATATACTATCTGTCTACTTGAATAGTCTTCTGATAGGCCTGTGACTCACTGTTCTGAGCACGCACGTTAGAAATTCATTTAGCAGCTGCTGTATGATTCATTAGATTCTGTGGCAGCAGATAATGTGTTTGTAAAAGCTCGTATACATTCATACACTGTGACACCAAAGCTGAATGATTACCGGTTTGCTCGTGTCTTGTAGCTTTCTGACACACAGGTTCTCCAGAGGAATAATCCCGATTGGATCTTTATCCTGGAGGACGACATGGACGTTAATGTTAGACTGAGAATTTTTGACTTTTTCACATTTTGTTGTTGTGATTGTTTTGGCAGCAGAGAGAAACTCACTGTGGTGTATTCAAAGTAGTACAGGCAGCTGTCTGTCAGAATGAACCACCTCCTCTTCCAGGTTTTAATTCGACCACCTTCAACAGAGACAAAGAAGATTTTAAAACAATGAAATCCTAAAAGCATCTCGCAGTTTAGTGTGTGGTGTTGACGTCATTGCCTCACCTATTTTAAGGAGCCAGCCCTCTCTGTCTGGATTAAAGAACGTCAGCGTGAGGTCGTTCCCATCGTCCTCTGGGATTTTGAACGGCTCACTGCGGATGCTCGCGTACAGTTTCTGGAAGATATTTGAAGATAAAACCTTAAATTTTGCCTGAACTTGTTACTAAATGTTACATTAGTTAGACCCTTAAGTTAGCATGAAGACTGTTTAGGCTCCTAAAAAGTTGGGTTATTTTGTGTTCTTTTCAGTCTTTTTGTGGTCTTATGTAGTCATTTTACATCTCTATGGAGTCATTTTGTGTGTCATTGCAGCTGTTTTGTGTCTCTTTGCAGTCGTTTTCGTTTCAATCTCTTACCAGTCACTTTTTGATTCATGTTTGTTTTTGCAGTTTGTATCTGTTTATGTCAATTTTTCTGTCTATTTGTGGTCTTATTGTCTCTCTTCGCCTTCTTTTCACGCTTTTTGTGGTAAGTCTTGTCTGTTTATGGTAATTTTGTCTCTCTTTGCCTCCATTTTGTGTTCCTTTGAGGTCATTTTTGTCTGTTTGTGATCATTTTGTCACTATTTGTGGTTATTTTGTGCCTTTGCAGTCATTTTTTTTGCTTTTGTGGTCATTTTGTGCCTGTCGGTTATTTTATGTCTATTTGGGGCCACTTTGAGTGTGTCTTTGTTCTTCTTTGTCTGCTTGTGATAAATTTGCGTCTGTGGACACTGTGTGTCTGTTTGTGTTTCTCTGCAGACATTTTAGATCTCTGTGGTCATTGTGTGTCTTTTTGCAACTCGGTTGGGTCCTTTTGTGTTATTTTGTGTCTCTTT